CCACGGTGCCACCCCCGGGGTGCCCCCACCCTGCCCGCGCCCCCAGGGTGCAGGCAGCAACCCCAGGCACTGCGGGATGTCGCCTCCCTGCTCTCCAAACAGGGAAAAGGCCCTTTAATGGCTGGGAAAGCATTTATTTGTTTTTACTGCCGCACAATTGGGGCTTGAACATAAGCAAAGGCCGGAACCAGCCCAGGGAGAAGGAGACTTTCTAGAAAACACATACATAGACATGCATAAACATACAGATACTATATATGCACGCACACTTCTCTCTCTCTATTTTTTTTTTTTTTTTTTTTGAAGCTTTGGTATGTGTTCTTCCCACGATATGAACAAATCAGTCCTACCATCCCATTCAGGAAGTTTCACTTTAAACCAAACCAGATGATGGCTCCAGCCCTCGGATACGTTTAACTGTGAGATAACCATCCCACAGCACAATGTGCCAGGGCTGCGGCCGGGAGGGGAGAAAATAGCCCCGATTCCCCACGGCTGCTCGGTGTCACGTATGCACCATGCCCTCCCTGCAGAGGAGGGGGGTGGGCTGACGCAGGGGGGAAGCACTGCTGGGTTTTTCCTAGGAATGTCTCCCTCCGTCTCATTGCTGCGGAGAAATTCCCGTTTGGTGTTTACATGGTGCTCGCGAGCTCTGGATGGCCGGGGACTAGGCTGAAGTCATGCACCAAAGGGCATCTGAAGCGGTGGAGAAGCCAAGCGCTCGCCGCAACACGGAGCAGGGGAGGGCGACTGCCACGGGCTCGACGAGGCGTTTGCTCAACCACAGGAAGAACTTGTTTCCAGCCCCAGATGGTGATCACATTGTGCCATGAGACCAGAAGGATGGAGAGAGCTCCTGAGAACTTCATTTAGCTCTTGTGCAACTCTGGACTCCCAGCCCACGAGTTAACCCTCCCAAGCCACCTGGGCTTACTCCACCATCGCCCTGCACCGCACAAGAGATGCAGTAAGGTCAGCAATGCCCAGTCACAGCTCTCAGGACAGCTGTAAGTGTGCAAAAATGTTTAAGATCCCCAAAGAAGGGTGTGAGGATCACACAAGGAGGTCCCCAGCCCAAGGTCATTCAGAGCCAGTAAGAGATCAAACTCCAGAGCCCCTGGTGCAGCTACCGGACCCAAAATGCTCCCGTACACATTGCTGATCATTGAGGTAGAGCCCTGGGGACCTGATTTTGACTGGTGGCTCAGCAACTTTGCTCAGTCGCGCACAGCGGCTTTGTGGTGTTTTGGTTGATGAAAAGCAGGGCTTGTCCCCGTGCCATCCCCCTGCCCAGCCCAGGGAGAATTAGGGTGAAGGTCCCGCTGGGTGTGTTTGACTCTGCGGTGAGGAGGGGTGAGCCTGTGGCAGCTGCATGCAAGGGCAGCACGACTCAGCTGCGGACACTGGATGCCTGTGCAAAGCAAAGAGTTCATCCTACCGGAGGAATAACCCAGGAGAGCTGCTGGCCACGATTCCCAGCGCAACTCTCTTTGTGCCAGGTACAGCTGGCTGCTCGCTGTGAGCCCTAAGGGGAGCAGAGCTCCTCTGAAACACCAGAACAGCCAAAGTCCAGGGTCTGGGTCTGGCTTTGCTTAGGAACTGCAATTTATTAATGCTTTTTGGAAAAGGAGTCAGCTTGAGAGTTGGCCTGGGGTCCATGCAAACCACCCGGGGGAGGAGAGGTAACCACCCCTGCTCTGTGCATCGTGCTCATTCCTCTCTCATCCCTCCTCACCGCAGAGGCAAACACACCCAACAGTACCTTCACCCTAACTCCCCCTGCCGCGAGCCAACCACGAGCGCCCAAGAAGCCCCTGTACAATGCATCTTTTTCCATCTGCTAGCACATTGGTACCCAAAGGGGGGAAAAAATAAGTCCCATATTACTTCTGAGGCCATGATCTGCCCACTGCATTCATCGCTGCAAGAGCATCCTTTCTTTTTTTAACCATCCAGGCACGCAAGACTGGGAATGCAGGTGAGATGCAAATCCCAGTGGCTTGGGCTGTTTTTCCCAACGTTCACGCCTCAGCGGCGATACGCACCAGCAGCAGTTTCCAGTGCTTTGCTTGGTTTCTCAAATGACTGTCAGTAACTTAACTGGCAGTTGCCAGCTTCAGGCTGTAACTGGGAAAATGCGCCCACTCAGCTCCGGAGCGGTCCAGGAAAGCATTCCTAATTCCCCCTCCCATTCCCAGCTGGATTGGGGGAGGCGGGGAGGGGAGAAAAGAGCATCAATTGAGGCTTTCACTTCCCAGCAATGATGCTCATCTGCCACCGAAAATTAACTCCGTGTGCGTCTTATTTTCGCTGTGGTTTGCTTTCCGTGGTTGCCAAAAGGGAAATGATACCCCTTCCCCCATGTGCTCATCCCACTGCTGCGGCCGCAGGAGCCGGGGCTCCTCAGGTCTCGACACCGCCGTTAGTGCCCGACCTTGTCCTGGTTGCGCTGCGTTTACTGGCATGGGAATAAAGACCTCTCTGCACTTCACAGGGGGATTTTCTAAGGACGCTCACAGCTGAAGCAGGTAGAAATGAGTGGGTTTCTCTGCAGAGAACTGTTCACTCCCAGAAGAGCAGAGAGCCCTAAATGGAAGGACCCAGCACCCATATGCTGCAGGTGCAGCGACCCCGAGGGCGGCACTCGGACCCTTCCCTGGGCTGCAGCACCCTTTGCACTGGCTGCAGCACCCATTGCATGGGTCTTTGCAGGGGGGCGAGGCTGCAGGAGGACAGGGCACAGCCAGCAACTCACCTCCCGGGCTGGTCGGGGTATTTGTGTTTGCAGTATGCCTCTAGCGACGCGTACACCTTCTCCCGTAACGCCTCCACTTCAGCCGGGTTGGAGAGACCTTTCGAGTCTGAAAGGCAACCAAAGGACCATCAGCCAAAAAAACCTCCAGGCTTTCCAGGCAGGCAAGGATCCCCCTGTGCACCCCCCAGGCCCCTCCACCCCTCCTGGCACCACCAGACCAGGGCACAGCGTGGACGCGGGGTCTGAACCCCAGGAATTCAGGGCAGTACCTAACACCTCCCGGGGAGCATTCAAGCCCTGAAAGGTTCGCCCTGTAACTACAGATCTGTTTTACTCCACCTCATACCCCAACCCCAACCATTTTGGCTCATTCCAGTGGTCACAGACCCTCATGAAAAGGGTTTAAGTCCCCCTCAAGTCCTGGGCTTGTGGGATTTCTCCCTCCAGCACTGTGCCAGGGCTGAACGCAAAGCCCCCGCTCTGGCAGGTCCCCTGCAACGCAGCGAGGATCTGTTTTTAGTAGGGTGAAAGGGACAGTCAAGCAATCGATATCCCCAAGCACATGCACCATGGGAACCTCTCCAGATTCCCCTTCTTTTACCATATACGGCTAATCCCAAATTACAGACAATAAATTACTGGTGATTACAAGGGCGGGGGGGGGAGTCAAGCAGAAAAACAAACCCACAAAACAGCAATAAACCCCACTGAAATGCCCTGGCCTGGGTTCGGTGGGAAAGGACAGAAAAAGAGCCATGCTTGGGCATAAACCATGCTCCTGCGAGGGCAGGGAGGGGAAGGGGTGGCCGCAGATGTGGAGGTCTGTCCTCAGCTATCATCTACTTCTGCTCTGGACCGACCCGCTCTAAAAAAACATAGAGAACCCCCCAACAGAGCTGTACAGGTATCTGCAGGCTGGCAGTCTACCTCCTGCTGCAGCAGGGCTTTGCTCTCCGAAATGCCGGAGACAACCCCCGGCACTGAACCACCTTCTTCCCCTGGGCAGCTGGGGCCAAGCGGGGGAAAAATGAGCAGCGTGAAGCCTCCCGGAGTCTGTAAAACTAAGCAAGATGCGGACAAAAAATAAAGTTCCTGTGTATTTTATGAGCACGCTTCATGCCGTTCACTCTCTGCAGGCTCTGCAGAGGGCTTTTCCAGAAATGCAATTAATAAAAGCCCTTGGATGTTGAGATCAGGAAACAGAGAACAACAAGGTCCATGCTCTAACTTTGCTCTAACCCATACTTTGGTCTTCAAAGATATCTACATTCTTTTTAACTCCTATTCAGGGATAACCGCCTCAAGCACCAGAACTTTCTTTTTACAGAGTTGGCTGAAACACTAAAAATAGGAAGACTCTGTATGTTGATCAGACCAAAGCCCCTCAAGCTCAAAGAACTCAGCCCATCAGTAGGAGTCAGCTCCAAAAGCAGCATTCCCCATCTCCTCAGACGATCACAGCCAAGTCCCAGCCAAGGCTGCACCCTGCATGAAGAATATTTTGGACCACGAAACTGTGCTGCCCTCTGCAAAGGGGGAAACACTCCTTGGAAAGGGAGGCCTGGAGAGCAACCCTGGGCATGGATCCAGATCCATCCCTGACCTGCAAAGGACATGCTTGTAACGTGGCAGACGCATGTGCAGCACTTCGTTTGACTTTCATCCTTGCCTCTCTTCCTCGCCCTGCCCTCGGGAGTTGTGTGCCCTCGGTTATTTGCAGTGGAGCTTTATAGGTAAGAAAAGGAGCCAAAAGGACACAGCATCAGCCAAGAGAGGACAGGAGAGAAGGTAACGGCATGTACCGGGGTTGAAGAGGACAATGGCTCGCAGGCAGCCTAGCTCTGTCTTGTCCATCTGCATGTCTCGCATTTTTGACACGAGTTCTGTCAGTACTCTGCAAGGGACAGAAATCACAGGCATCAGCATTAAAAAGAAATGGAAAACCACCCAGGTGTCAGACCCAGAGTGAGGTCCTCTGGTGCATGGTTAATGAAGTCATGGGATAGTGCTCGCTTATACCAGCTGAGGATATGCCCTCATTTTCCTCCGGTATCAAAAATAGCTCATTAGGAACATCAATAGTGCCTGTGAGATACAACAGGGACCATAAAAACTGGCTTCATACATTCACCGAGAGGCTTTGGCACCTGAGAAAGCTGCCTAAAAATAAAAAATAATAATATAAAAAAAAAACCCAACAGGTATCTAAAAGCAATTTCCTCTGCCGGTAATTTTTATTACTCCCTTTGCTCTTACTGCAGGTGCCGGTCTTGAAATATTTTCCACTGATTGCCCAGTTTCCCCTGTTAGATCCTGCAGTGAAGTCATGATCTTGCACTTATGACCTCACAGGAAACCAATGATGTCACCCAGGTCCGAAGAACAATTTCCTTGCAAAGCAAAGAAGCAAAGGTGAGCTGGTTTCAACTAAGCCATATCAAGATGAGTCTCGGGCAGAGAAATAAGCCACAAGTTAAGTGGCATCTGGAGCCACACTGGGGGTCAAACCCCCTGGAAGTCTGGCTTTAAAACACTTTCCCAAAGCACGAGATTAAAGAGCCCTCGGGAAACGCCTGTGGAACCTGCTGGGTATTTTTGGTGCTTTTTCATTGTGAAAATAAAAATCACGTCTTGGTCCAATTAAAGATGAAAAGAAATAAAGGAGCGGCCTCCTCATAACATTAGAAGGCATCTGGACCCCATGAAAAAGGCTTTGATTAGCACTGGGCAGCCCTCGCCCTGACTATTTCGGGCTGTTGGTTTCTGCAGGTTTAAGAGGAGGGATTTAACGTCATTGCCTGCAGCAAGGACCATGACATTTCCATGCACGCCGTGGGACGGACACGCCTTGGCCCGGGCTCCTCCGACCACGAGCCCATGTGCCAACGCATCTCCATCCGACCCCTCAAGCAGGTTGCAACGATGGGAATGGAGGCGGACCGGTGCGGCGACAGAGCCGGGGATGTCTAGGCAAGGTGGCCTGGGATGTGTTCCCCCCATCCATCCCTCCCTCTGCCCACCTGTCGAAGATGGCCCCGACGCCAGCACTGTGCGCGCTGTTCCGGTGCACGTGGAGCCCGGTGGCTAAGAGGATCCCGTCTTTCACGGCTATGGAGCGGTGGGAAAAGGAGGCGATTAGGAGCTCATTCCACCCTGGGGAGGAGAAAACAACCAAGGCTGCAGGTTAGAGCCACGGGGTCCTCAGTGGGTTCGGGGAAACAGCAACATCACCTCCCCGGCGCGAAAAAGAGAGGAGGAAACCACTCAAGAGCCACCTCTGCTAGAGTAACGGGGCTGGATGTGGGAAGAGAGCGGGGAGCCAGCCCCTTCTTGGATGTCAGGGAAGGAAAAAACCATTAAGGAGCAAATGCACTAAAAATATAACGCTAATAAGGGAAGCGGTTTCCTCTATAAACCTTGCAGGCACCAGAGCAAACAGCTCTCTGCCCTGCTCCTCTCCCTGCGAACCTACGAGTGGGTGTGGAGCCCTGCGTTCCCCCTCTGACCTTATACTCCCTGCCTCCGAGCAGTTAAAGACCTATTAACGCTTTGTATCAGCTAATTGGGCTCGTTTTCAGGCCATAATGGGACACAAAAGTTCATTCACCATTATTCAGCTGTGTAAACGGGGACCATGAAAACTCTTGCCTGCAGCTTTGTTGCTTCTGCCATATAAATTCTGGTAGGGATTGCCTCTCCTCTTCCCTGTGGCTGTACAGGGATGTCCCACGTCCATCACTTCTCCACTAACAGCTTCCCATAGCTGCTTGGAAATCAGCTTTTGTCTTAGTAGTTACTGGACGTGCTACTTCAGGAGATAGGAAAACACATCCTCTGAGGCTGGACACTATGGGAGCAGTCTGGGCTTAGGGCTTAGTTACAAATGGGGAAGGGAAGGGAGATGCAACCTTCCTCCCTGCCTCCCAGCTCCCTTTCCTAATTTAACACATCCTCAAATTCTTAAATCCGCTACCAGCTGAGTTCAAGAATGCCTGAAACAAACCCATACAGGAAGAAATGCTGTAAACTTTTGAAGGGTGGAAATTTTGGTGACTTTGAACCAGGGGAGGCATCTTCAATAAGACAAGACGGGTCTTCTGCAACCCTAGGGAGTCTCACGCTCATCGCGTGGCTGATTTACCCAGCCTGAAAACGTTCTGGTGTCCAGAACACAGGGCTGCTTGGCAGGGTCCAGAAATGTCTTTCCACAGGCTGGAAAAGCAATGCAACAACGTCCTTCACCTCCTCTCCTGCCACAGAAACATGTCTTTTCTTGCTGTCTGGAATAAATACAAGGTCTACATATGCTGTATTTACCTACCGTTGCAGAGATGGGTTGTGCCATTAGAAATGTTGACAAGGAATAAAGTTCACTCTTTCCTAAGTGGCCACAGGATGTTTCCACCCCAATCATGGGAACATTTTTTTGGCTATTTACTGGGCGAGGCCTGGCACTTGCAGACAGATTGCAACACTGTGAAACCCAAGGAGGATGGAGGGGAAGACGTGGGACTGCACCAGGAGCCTGCAGGAACTGTGCTCCATGGCTGAAGAGGACTTCCCAAAACCGTCTGGTGGGTCTCCCAGATCCACAGAAAGGTTCTGCAGGTGTCTCCCAGCAGCCATCACATGCAGACCCACAGCAACTCCGCCTGCAGCCCCTCCACGCAGCTCCAACCAACAGAAACCAGGGCTGGTTCACAACGTCCCTCCACGACACCAGCATTCACAACTCTGCCCTGACTCTTGGCCATCACCCAACACCCCTCTGCCCCAGCAGTGCCAAATCCAGCCTCCAGCTTTCCAGGAATACATGAAAGTGGTGAAAAGTGGCTGCAGGGTACTGCCAGCATCTGTGCTGGGCTTATTCCAGCTAAGGAGCACTGGATTAATGAGCATCCTTCAGCTGAATTATTCCCATTTAGAGCTGGGATGTTTTGGCTGAAATGGGGAACCTATTTCTACTTGGTGCTTTCACCAGAGCATCCCCAAAGAGCTGAAAAGATAGAGGCAGGCAGGAAAAATTAGGTATAAGCACAGGCAGCAAACCTGAGTTAGAGAACAAACAAGTCTACCCAAGGAGTTTTGCATTTCAGCCCAAGCTCTGGAGAAGCAGAGCAGATTTCTTTGACGCTTGTGACTCCTTTCTCATCAAACAAGGTGGCTGCAGCCTCCAGGGATGCTTTGGCTCCTCTGGGGTAGGGAATGCACCTGGCAGGGCAGTGACCATGGTGTTAATCCATCTCACTACCAAGTTTCCCCACCAGCCCTATGACATGAACTGCAGCTGCAGAGATGTAGTGCTCAGCATCCTTTGCCAGGCTGGCCCCAAAGCAGAGAAAACATTGGGTTATTGCCGCCTCAGCCATAGCAAGCTTGGAAACAAGAAAACCCAGGGAAAACAGGCTGAAAAAGCTGGCTTTCCTTCTCCTCCAGAAAGCTCAGAGAAGGAAGATTTTTAAAGGATTCAGGATTAGAGGAAAGCTACTGCCGGCCCATCCAGCACTGCTCCTCCAAAGATGTGTGCTCCACTTAATTTTGCCTCCAAGGATGCATGACTGAACCTGACTGATGCTCTTAGCTAAATTTTAACACTTAAATATTTCATGGGCAGCCTTTCTCAGCAGGCCACTCTCCCCACTCAATAATAGATAGAGCCACTGGTTAAAAGACTTGGGGGAGGTTATCTGAGGCCCTGACAGAGATGCTTGGAGCAGGGAGCCCATCAGAGCCGCTCCAGGTGCTCAGCCCACCTCATGGCCATGGAGTTAGAGCCACCATGAAATTTGGGACATAATGGGGGCTGCAGCCCCCTCTCCTCCCGCCCCGTGGAGTTGCCCCTCCAGGATGCCAGCTCAGAGTTGGTCATAACAAGCACCAGCACAGAGGAGAGAACATCAGGTCAGAAAATCTCCAGCTCAGCTTTCATTAGCCGCCTTCTAAAGAGAAAGAAAAGCCTTGAACTGTTGTTGCAGGGTTTGTTTCCATTTCACAAAAGAAAAAGGCAGCTTTTTGTCTGAATCCAGTTCTTCCCTGCAATATTTGAATAAAGCCCTCAAAGATTCCTACAGAGATGCTTCACCTACTCATCCACTCTCACAAGAGGTTCGAGACCCTCTTCAAAAATACACTTTTTGTATTTTCCAGAGAGGGCCCTGGGCCAGCTCTGGCAATACTCACACCCATGGAAAAGTCAGGGGAGCACCTTCACCAAAGGGCTAGCAGGAGCCGTGCAGGGAGGGCATGGGACTTGGCCACGTCTGCAGCAAGAATAAAACCCCCAAATTCTCCATTCCCAGAATACTGCTGTAACCACTATATGAAATGTGACTATAAAAATCTCCTTTCAGTAATACAAGAAGAGTGGAAAACCTACACCAGTAAACGGTGTGACTTAATCACCCAGAAACCATTGAGGTCAAGGATTTCAGAGAGGTTGCAAGAGGGACTGGGTATCTGTATGTAGGGCCAAGGTACACAGTTACATTGGTTGACAGTCAATAAAAAATTGCTGAAAGTATTAAGATTCATGCATTTGGGTTGCAGTCAGCCTTATTAAACAGAATGACAGAAAGTGTTTGTGTGGTGGGAAGGGAGAAATACCAATCCCATCATCTTCCTACTCTGGAGCCCTTATATACCTTCTCCTGAAGCAACCTGGACAGACCTTGGACCAGAGGAGTTCTGGCAGTTCCTATATTTTGTGTTGAAGTGCATATTTCGCACTTGGTTCTTAAAGTACTTTCCTGCCCAATTTCATGCATTTATTTTGGGGCACACACTTTCTACAGTAAGAAGCCAGGAACGCTGCCATCACGGTGGATCAGCAGCGTCTTGTCTACAGAGGCTGCTAACTCGAGGCCAGAAGAGTGCAGAGTGAGAGGCACAAACCCGGCAGGGTCTTCCCCTCCTGAATTCCCTACAAAAGTGCATTTTGGGGAAACAAAAGGAACTTTTAAAACCACCAGGGACTTCAGAGTCCCTGGCTTACTTGGGTTTGGCTGCGGGACTGGTTCACTCCAGGAAGCTCACAAGCTCGCCCTTCTCTGAGGCTGCACCTCTGCTCTGCACCAGACTCCTCCATCATTCCCTTTTGGATTCCCTTGACTACTTCAAGTAGCCAAGGTCGGTGTGTCTCATTGCCAAGCGGAGACCTGGGTGTCACTGCCAACCGTCAAGGACTCCTCGTTTCCTCTCCCAGTCTCACCCTTCGCATGGAGTTAGTCATTTGCTGGCAGCCACTTCATCTGTCCCACTGACAACTTCCCTCTCTCTTTGTTTAAGGGAGCAAAACTCTCCGCTGCATCAAGCCAAGCCTTTTTAATCACTTATCTGATGATTGGAGCTATGCAAAGAGCTTCATGCCTAAAATGCACCTCCGTCGAGCTCTGCTCTTGACTTCTTGCCCTCCTCAGCCTTTGTGCATAACTTGCCAGCAGTAGGGGCTTGAATTTACTTGGTGGGAGAAGACCCTTTTCACAGCTAACTGCTTTTCACCTCCCAAAGCCTCCATTCTTGCAGACCCCCTACTGCAAAAGGAAATTTAAAATAAGCCCAGAGAATTTTATTTTCATCTTGGTGGGTGGGAGAAGGAGGTTGATAAATTCTTCTCCCCTTTCTGGTTTTAATTATGATCAAACATTTGAGTTTGATGAAATTTCATGGAGTCCCAAGCCTACTTGGTCTTTCAAGTCTCAGCTTGGGAGGAAGGCAGTGCATAGCTCCCTTGGTTTAAATCACCCGGCGCACATCTCCAAGCGCCTCGCTCATCAGAGATGAAGCCGGGCCATTTTTCAGCTGATTGGCAGCTGGTGCAACATTTTGGATCACATTCAGCAACATGTCCCTTGGGGCTTTTTAAACCCTATTTAGCAATTGAATTATCAGAGGCTATTACTCAGAATCAGTTAAAGGCTTTCAAGTTGCCGGGACCTAAATCTAAGCATAATACCTGTCACCGTTGAGATGTAGCATTCCTACAGCCCCATGCCAGAGCCCGCGCAGGGACGGTTCCCACTCACCTGCTCTGAGCAAGATGACCTGGTCGTCCAGGGGCAGCTCGGAGAAGTGGGGGATCCTCTTGGCCCATTCCACCAGCGTGAAGAGCTGTTTGTCTGCTGCCTGGCATATGTTCGTCACCGGGTCATTGGGCTGCCAAGAAAAGGAGATTGAAAGGCTGGGAGAAAGCAGAGCAAGGAGAATAGGAGAGGCTGGAGGAGTAGCTGAAGGGTCTTGCTGCCTCCCTGCTGCAGGGAAGGACCCCAAAATCAGGAGCACCCCAGAAGTGGATGTTATCAGTCACAGGGAAAGGAGGTGACTTGGCTTCTCCACCACACAGTTTTAAGTAGTTTTTAAGCAAGCTCCAAAACAGGAACCAGGAGTGTTGAGACCTAACATCCATCACAGTGACTGATGAACCAAACTAGCTCCAGCCCGGGGACAGGCAGGCTTCTGCACCCATGCAGCATGCACGTTCCCCGTGCCAGCATGTCCCAGCTCGATAAACCAGCACCAGAGGGGGCATTACAGAAAAGAAAAAAAAAAAAAAGAAAAAAGAGAAAAACCTTTTCCTTTGAAATATTATCCAGTAACAAAAAACATCTGCTCTCAAGGAGGACAGTCAGCCTAAACATGCCAAATCCCTGTTTAAAGGAACTGCTAACAGCTCAAGTGGGCTTGTGATTAGGAACTGGAAGAGACTGTCTAACCCCAGCAAAGACAGACCTCACTAGTACAAGTGTGTATACAGGGTTTACCTCTCTGGACAGGGATGTAAGAGCCTCTCCACATATCCCACTGTAATCCCTGCTGATACCTAGCAGCTTTGATTGTACAATTCTTTTTCTTCCATATCCTTAAAAGAGCAGTTTCCAAATCGGAGGAGGATGAGTGTTTACTTCACCCCCAGATTGCAGGGAGAAGGGGTGCAAGTTGAGCGTGGCCGAGCAGACACGAACGCCAGCGTAACCTCTCCCTCTGGCAAGAGTCTCGGTTGCAGCAGGACAAGGCCGTTCCTCACCATGAGCTGGCTGCTCTATGGCAAACCCCTCTCCCAGGCTGCACAGATGAGGACCGTGCTGCTGAGTCTCACTCGTGCCCCCCGGAGCCATGCCCGGTCCCCTCCGCTGTCCTCTGGCAGCAAACACAAACCCTGTGCCTCAGTGGCCAACATCTCCCATTCTCCAGGCTTAAAATAACCAGCATCTGGCAAGCTCAGGGGCACCCGCCTTCGAAGTATTTTCACCTGTTGCATGCAGAGATGGATGGGAATGGGCTTGCATTCAGCAGCGCAGCTGAGGAGCAGGGAGCATTGTTACAGGGATTTTCCCCTCCTTGCTCTGCCCATCTCCAGCAGCTCCCCGAGGAGTGCAAGGGCAGGGCAGTCTCCCTCCGAGGGAGCTGGGGCTCCTTCCTGGGGAAGGAGATGTGAGCAGGGACTGGGCTCTTCCCCAGAAGAGGGAGAAAAGATGGGATTTCCTCTGGACAACAGGAAAACCCTAAACTGGGTGTGAGGAGGAGCTTTGCAGGGTTGTTTCTCTGGAAACACAGGGACCGTCTGCTTTCAGAGGCATTTGCCAGAAGGGTGAGAAGGGACACCCTTGGCCCAGGGGGTCAAGGATGATAGGCACATCACCAGCGTCAAGTCATCCGAGTTTGGTCAGCAAGCTGGAGCAGCCAGGTGGAGAACCCAAGCGTCCCGGCTCCCACGGGGTGGGATTGGGATGGAGCCCTGCATGCCCCGGAGCAGGACACGACTTACGGGAGACCCCATGCTCCAGCAGAACCTGACCCATGAAGCAACAAGTGCCTGCACAGTCCCATGAAAGGGGTGTTTTAGGAAAGTTAGATGTTTTTGCCAAAGCTTTTATCACGGGTTGCTTCTGGGCTGGTTGTCACTGTCTCTAGGACTCACCCTGATGCAGCAAGCTGGGCTCCAGGTCTCCCAGCCCAGGCTGTATCACGGCTGCTCTGCAGGCAGCACAAGTTGTACCCAGCCTTCCATGCTTCATATAAAGCCTCAGCAAGGGGCCCAGCCTTTAATTACACCTCAGACGGCAGTTCCTGGAACCACCACGGTGCTTCCTGGCAGAACTTAATCACTGTAGCTCGAGAGGCAGCTAAAAGTATCATCCCTGCAGGCTGAAAGGGCCCTGCCTGTCTCCAGGAGGGGATCTGCAAAGCGGTGCTAGAAACCCTCCCCATGCATGGTAAACAAATCCCCTCCTGCAGTAAATAGCAAGGGCACAGTGCCGGAGTGTGACAGAATGAAAGGACATGCAGGCACCTGATCCTTCTGGAAAACCGGAGCTTGGAGACATCTTCCAGAAAGTGGTGACTTGAAACCAGCTGCTCAAAGGCCAATTAAAAGCTAATGGGGATAACATCTCTCAGTTACAGGCTTTGCCTTTCAGTGGCCAGGAGCCCATCTGAGGTGGTGCTTACACTGCAAGAGCCCAGCGTTGCAGCTGCTGGGGACACGGGGCAGAGGCAAACCCATCCTCGCGCCTCGTCGTGCTGCCCGGGGACAAGGTACCTGCCGAGGGCGTATGGCCAGTGCCCAGCTCCCAAGGGAGCGGGATCACACGGGGTCTGGGAGCTTCCTGGGACACACAGAGTGGAGGAATCCTGCAGCCATGCTCATTTACAGCTTGTGGAACCTCCCAAAGGGTTTAGCCCCTTTGCCATGGTCAGAAGCCAGACAACCGTCACAATTAGCAGCTATTTGCAGGGGCTGAAGAGCTGTTATCTGGGGCTCACCGGTGCAATTACTTCAAGTGAGTGTTTTAGTGATGCTCCTCGAAACGCTAGTCTTGGCGCCCTCCTACCACCCAAGGCAGGAGAGCAGATTTGCAGGGGCACATCCCTCTGTCTTAGCTGCTCTCTGCCTGGCTCAGCATCCTTCCCCATCCTGTCTGTGCCACCCACAAGGATCACACCCCACTGTACTCCCCCTTCCCCATCGTGGGCTTCAACCCATGAACGTACCCCATCCTCTCTGGTGTCAATCAAGGCGTCAGGACAGAGCCCCGGGTCCCCTCCCTGGTCACGTGCTCGGAGCAGCACACTTCACCAGCAACAACGTGTGTAGATACCAGGGTTGCTGGAACAGCTCACAGGCTGCAACCCCCCTGCCCTCCCCTTTTACCAGCTCTGAGGACTCTGCTGAAGCCCCAAAATTGGGTCCCACACTGTCCTAGGTGGAAGAAATCAGTGCCAGTGCCAGCCTGGCAAAGCAGAGGGACCTCCCTCAACCAGAGGTGGGATCTCTGCTCTCAGAGCAGCCAGGGCACCTTGGCACAAGGTGACAGTCACAGATGTGAGAGCGTCTGGGACAGGAGGGTGTTAGCTCCTGCAGCACCCTGCCACCTCCGTCCCAGCCTGGCACAACCCCGTGAAAACGTCCTTGCAAGCGCTGGAGCTCTCCAGCTCACCGGCAGCGTTCAATGCAGATGGGCTAAGGTGCAGGGGTGCAAATAAAATGACCCAGCATACCAGGCCAGGAGGAAACAGCTTGTGTTTTACCCTGTGTCTATTAGGGACTGAATTTGTCTGCCTTTCCATCACACGGGCTCTCTGGGGAGGGCTGGGAGGAGGGCAGCTCCTCCGTCTTCCCTCACCTCATCCGGTGGCCTCGTCACTGCGAGCTGCTGATCTCATACATCTGCTAAACCTGCTACAAATGTCACCTCATCGACAGAAGCCGCTTGACAATAATAGGGCATTTCAACAAGCCTCCTTCTTCTATTTAGATGCAACACACATCCTTGTTCACAGTAATGCGTGTTGAATTATGCAGGAACCAGCTTTCAATTTGCTACAAGAGGCTGAGGAGACGCAGTGCCAGACGAAGCCATTTATTTCAGCTCGCTCTCTGGGGTTTGTTTTCAAGTCAGCACAACACTGGCTACAACTCCCCTGAAGTATTTTTAATCCTGATAGCTGTCAGAGCCTCTCCGAGTCCCTCGCTAACCACGGCTGAGCTGCCTCCTCCAAAAAAGCCCCTTGGAGCTTCACGGCAGAGTGGGACCCTCCGGCTGAAGGGCATCGCTGCCTGCAGGGTGCAGCTGGGGTCTCAAATGCCGGGGGGAGCACCATGGCCCTGTATCTGCTTCCGGAGAGTTTCCCTTGGGAATCGCCTCTGTCCTTAGCAGGAAGCCTTATGCACCGAAAAGCTTCACTTAGCAAGCCAGCCATTAAGTGTCCTTGCAGGTAAAGGCCAAAAAGAGCATCCCGCAGAGGCAGTCAAGACAAGGAGCAGCCTGACTCCGAGATCTCTTGTCAAGCCCTGCCAGATAAGGTATTCCCTGCTCAATCCTCCAGCCTCATATGAAGAAAGAGATAAAGTAGTATTGTAGCAGAAAATAAATACTGCAGAGTCCTTCCACTTCCCAGAAATAGCTGCATTTCATCACCGCAGCCTCACAGACACCTAGCACAGAGCAATAGGAAACGCAGAGGGATATTTCAGCGTATGTTCCTGCTCTCCTGGGTTAGCCAGCCCGCCCGCTTGCAGATCCCCAGCTGCACCTCCGTGCTCCCCTGAGGGACTGCCAGGCAGCCAGGAGACGCTCCCCACTCCAGCCTCCCCCCGCCCCAGCAGCAAGGCTGGCAATAGCTGGCAGGGTGTCGGGGCAGTGCATACCCTCCGCAGCCCTGATGCCACCTTGCAGCAGCGGTGCCCTTTCCTGCTAACAGAGCACGCCGTGGGATGGTGCGTGCCTGCCAGAAGGCATCGCCTAAGGCAAATGAGAAATTAAACATGTGCGGCTGACCCTGGCCCCAAAAGCGCACGCACAATGGCGCATGGCAATTTATTTTGTCCCCTCTCCCCCTCCTTCTCTTTGCTTTGAGACTTCCCGGTCCCTCAGTATCCCAGCCCCCCCGCAGCGTACCCAGGGACAGGGGTCATTAGCCCCACTCCTGACCCTACTGCTGTATTAGGTGCCTCAACTGCAGTCCTACCTTTTAGAGGCATTCCTCTCTTCCCATTACTTTCACGGGAACGGGGGCTACTGAGGAATGGGGACTGCATCCTAAATGCTGCCTAGACTGGGCAGCAAGTACGTGCTCTGCGCCAGGGCTCTTTATGAGGGCTTTGCATAGGGTCTATCCTAGAAAGAGAATTTCAGGGGATAGGTTGGCTCTCACATTTGGAAGTAGTTGCTTTGCAGGGAGGCTTTCTCTAAGCAAGGCTATAACCTGCTGATAAGGGGATCTCTTAGGAAAGGGACCAAGACAGTTTCCCTCATCACAGCTTCTCACTCTCTTCCTATTTCGCTGTCCGCTATCTCTTGTTTACACAAGGTCCTCTTAGAGCCTGGTTGCTTCGAGCAGGTCCAGTTATAACACAAGCTTGGGAAAGGAACTTGAAAGCATACTTCTCCAGGTTTTTTCTTCTTAGAGCCAAGCAGCTGTGTAACTCTGCATCTGAAAAGTCACGCCCCAATTTTACAACTCTTATCTCTTTGCACTTCAGCCGCACAGCTCTGTTTATTGGCTTGACTGGACTCTGAGCTCTTCAGAGCATGGAGTATCTTCCCGCCTTTTAGCACTAAGGGCTGTTAACTAAAATAAAACCTTCTCTGTGACCCTTTCTAATTATGCCTTACAGTATCTGTTCCTTCGCTACGGCAGTGAGACGGACAAGTACCAGTGCTGCTGGTTGCGCAGGGGCAGAAGGGCTCGCTTTCCTCACGCTTTCATCTAAGCTCACACGCGGCATCTACAGCAGAGCTAAGAAGTTGCATTTCTGAGCTCTGCTTATTTCTTTTCCCCTAAGGTAACTCCTCTCTGACCTAGGCTCGCTGCTGTATTCCTGCTAGGTCAATCCCAAGGCCCCACAAGCCATCCGTCCTGCCCCCTGTGCCCAGGATGGGGATGGGGCCAAGGGGAGAGGTGCCTTACCGAGCTCGGCGTCAAGCCCATATTTGCTTCAATGTACGTCTCTGTCTTTGGCTCCACTGCGAGTTCAGCTTCCAAGATCTTCTCCACGGGCATGTCCTCGTTAGCGCTACTTGTTGACTCCACCTCATTCTCGTTGCGGTCCTTCCCCCGCTGCCTCTCCTCCTGGACGGCTGGAAGTGGACAGAGAAGGGACAGTGTCAGTCTAGGGCTGCCGGCCACGGTGTCACAGGCTGAGCCGGGACCCTGAAGCTCCACGGAGCTACAGGAGTTACTTATCCACGAAAATCTAAAGCATCCTCAGACCTGTAGGACCACACAGACTTCTGATGCCTTGTTCTCCCACCTGGCCTTTCCACCAGTGTGGTCAGTGGGTCTCGGGCTTGGAGAGTCCAAGGGGGTGTAAGGTTTGGGGAAGCCGCCGAGCAGCCCCGGCCTGGGAGAGCTGCTCCGCGTGTGCTCCCCTGGGAGCACGGAGAGGGAGGCTCCTGCTCAGACTTGGCCTCTGCCGGGAAACTGTCCTTTCTGCAGGGGGAGAACTCCTGGAAACAAAAAGGCTAAAGACAAATGACGAACAGCAAAGGAAGCAACACGGCGAGCCGCCGCGGGAGAGGGAAATGGACGGGTGAAGTGATAGCATAAAGGAATCCTAAAGAAAAGAGAAATCGGTCAGTTTAAAGCCTAAGTCCAGAGTTCATCCATCTTCTGAGCCTGTTAGTGCTGAATTTCCATCGAGGTCATGGCATGCATCTAGTTCCCTGGTCCAGCAGTGATGCTGGCGGCTGCCGCGAGGCTCCGTGGCAGGACGGTGCTCCCGTGGGACAGGAGCTGGGAGCAGGGATCTGCCGGCAGGCGTTGTATGCAAACCAGCATGCTATCTTTGTCTCTGGGCAATTTCTAGACAGGAGAGACCTGTCCCAAATCCTGTGCGGTAGGAATAATCGAGCCAGAAGCATGTCACATGCTGATGAGTTAATGTCTGAGCAGCACATAGATGAAAAACACTTATTAGATGCTAATAACATTATTATTAATGATCTCCCTTTGAAACCAGCACACACGCTTTCCCTAAACTTGGAAAGTAGCTTTATGCAGTTACATCGGTAACTATCTCTTTGTCAACCACGATGTTACATACCCTAAATCACACACTTTTCCACACACCGTTGTTTCCCACAGTGCATTTTAGCCCAGTCTAGCTGAGAACAGCCCAAGCAACAGGAGTTTTCATCACTGGTCATGAGAGATAACTCCCAGAACTTATCCAGCCTTTTGCTGAGGCCCAAATGAGGCATTCGGTAATGAAAAAGGCCTGCTATTTATTGACAATTATCCTAACACTTTACCTCTCTGCTGAATTTGAAGCTGGTTACGTGATGTTAAGAGAAAGCAGCAGGGGCACGGGTATTGTTCCAGGGAAATCAGAGCTGTCTATAACACAATAAGGCTTTTTAGGCAATCAGTGGGACCAGCTCTACGCCAAGCGCAAAAATAAAACCTAGAATATAAAACTTATTACTTAAAAACCAGGAAATTAAGACACGTGCTAAAAGAGTCCTATATGGACGTTGATCCCATTAACCCAGCACCACCCCAGCATGCGAAGGCCTGGGGCTGATTTCCATGGCTCGCCCCCCCCCCCTGCAGGACGCCATGGGCCGTTTGCTGCACGTCAGCGGTGCTCAGACTCCTTCCATGTGAAAGCTGTTATGCAAAAAGCGAGAGGTTATTTTTTGCAAACTGCTCTTAAGTTTACGGGCTGCAGAGGCTCCCGAGGCCCACGCAACGTTTTCTGCTTGGTCTGCCAGAGCCAGGTAAGCTGCTGCTGTCAGAGCTCAGATTTGTGTCATGGCTTTTGTCCATCTGGCTCTTGTCTGGCACGTATTCTTCTCTCCACTTTTTCAGGCCAACATAAAATCCTGCTTAAATTTCTCCCCCCACCCCTACTCCTGCTTTCTCAATCATCAAAAGGCTAGAAATTTTTGCTTAATGCCAACTCTTCTTCAACAGAACAGATGCACCAAAACTCCTCTGGGCACATTAGAAGAGATAAAACACCTACTAAATAACAGAAAAGCCTAAGAGAAAAGCAAACCCTCAACAAATGGGATTTTATAAAATGACTTAAATGCCAAAGACCTCATGCACAGTCACAGCAGGTCTCAAGGATAAAGGTGCAAAGCGTGGTTCCTTGCTCTGAGATCAACCACCTCGGCCGCTGGGGCCGCTCCGCCGGGAATGCGCGTTAGTCCAAAAAACACATCCTCTTGCTCAGCTGCCAGTGACTTAGCTGGACACTGGGATTTGTGGGAAAGTACTGCAGAGCTCTGGGGAGACAGTGGCTACCTAAAGCCTTAAATCTGAAAATCTCAACCTCATCAAAACCAACAGTCACGTTCTTGGGGGTGAAGAATCAGATACACTTGAAAGTTATAGGAAAGTAAATCTTATAGGTCATCACGACAGATGACAGCAGTATTTGCTAGTGATTAGGCTGAATCTAGCTGATATAAACGATGGATGGAAGAGACAGATGGAAAGAGATTATATACATAAGTAGTTATTTCTGTTGATCTGTGCTTTGAGCTGCTACACCAGAAAGCTGGTGCTGTTGCTCGCTGCAGAGCTGGTCAGTGGAAAGCTGACTCATCCCAGCCTGCTTAGCCCCACGCAAAACCCTTGACACTCGCCCCTGCCCAGCTGGCCGCCGGCAGCAATGACACACCAGGCAGAGCAGATGGCGTATTCTCACCGAGTATGTCAGGTCCAAAGATAAACCAAGCCCTTGCCAGGGAGAGCGTTACCTGCTTTGCTAGCCCCATGTTTCCAAGACCAGACAGCCCTCTCCAAAGCCAGGACAAGCCTGGCATCACTTTGCGATCCCCCCTGCAGCTTGGATGACCTCCATCCATCCCGTCCCTGGCTCTCTGGGCTGCAGGAAAGCAGTGACTGCTTCCTGACGCTATGCTCAGTGATGCCGTTATCCTCCCTTCCCCCTGAGAAGCTGCTTGATGCACTGGTCTTCACCGAGGTGTACATCTGCAGGATGAGGTACCCGTACGACGTGATGTTCAGTTGCTGCTTGCTCGCAGGACGCGCCTTACCGGGTGTTCATGAACCCAACCTGTTCCTCACTTGGAAACGATGCAGGACACCCGCCCAGCCCTGGTTGCTGGATGTAGCTTTCGGGGATGCCTGCGAGGCAGCAACTCCTCTAGATGTTGACTCGGTTGTAGATGCTATTTTCTCTCCCTACAGGCAGCTTGAGGAATGAAGTGGGAACAGCTTAATTCTTCATGTAAGCAACAGGTTCGCTCCTGCAACAGCTCTGTGCCTGGCCTTGGGGTACAGCTGCCGGTGCACACATGAACTCCCCTCTGATGGTCATCTTACTGTCACCTCGTTCTTCCAGCTGTGGCACTCCTAATCCTCTTCAGGATCCAGAGGTTGAACTCGTTTCAAATTTAGTGCCTCCACTTTCCTAGTTCCAGATTCACCCTGAAGCATCATACAGCTCCTGGGGTAGCAAGCCCAACACATTGTCCTGAAAGGTGCAGGGATTTGCAGTTGGCATTCAAGACTCTGTGGGTTCCAAGACTTGGACTTCCCTGCAGATGCAGCCATCCTTGCAGCCTGTGGTTCAGAAGCTCAGCAGAACTGAGAGGGCATCCAAGATGCAAGGAGCAGGTGAAAGTGTCTAAGTGCTGCCAGTCATACAGGTTCTTAGCAGAGTCCTCCATGTCTCTGATCTCCACTGGCAAATGTCTGCAATTTACTGCAATCAGCATCTCCACAGACCTGCTGAGGACCTGACAAGCTGGTGCTCCTTCTTAGTAGAGATGCTGAGGGACAGACACATCGCCGTTTCAGAAAAGAATGGGGACTGTGTTTCTTGAGATATAAGCAAAAAATAGCAGGTGGGGTAGGGGGAAGGAAAGAAGGAGCAAGTATTCAAGCAAAACACCTTTTTTTTTTTTTTTTTTAAATCATGCAGTATGGGATGTTTGTGTGAAGGAACATCTTCAGTAGTCAGGAGACCCCCTCACCGTCAAGACCTAGGACCTTATCTCTGGAGTCCGCTCCCCACTCCCACTGGGGATTAGTCAAATAAACCACGGTGGAGATGACAAAAACACTTTTTTCAAATAGATTTGGTTTGGGAGCTGGGTTTCTTTGTGGCTTTGCTTTTTATTTTATCTTTTAAAAAAAGAGAAATACAAATGTATTTGTATTTCTGCTGCATGGCAGCTTGTCTGGTAATATTGAAATGGGAATACCTTGTTCTTCTCGGCTTCCCAGAGGTCTTGTGGGCCAGGATGGATGGTGCTCCATCCCTGTAACACAGTAAAATTTAGAAACAAAGATCATTATATCATTTGGTTCTTGTTGCTTCTGCTGGATTTTTCTCTTCCTTTCATGTAAGTTGTAAACTCACAGGCTAAAGACAAAAAACCAGAGGAGTTCTGCGACTGACTCCTGCAACCCAATGTGGCACAATCAATGTATATTTAAGAAAAAATAAACATTCTCAACTCTGGAGAGGCCACAAGATGCTTCTCCCGCCTGTCTCACACATGATGCTTCACAGGATTAGCAAGGGCAGGACACAGCGTGGCAATTCAGGGGAGCTGGTTCTGCTGCTAGCTCCCTTCTCTTGCTCGTCATCGATGCCCCCCTCTGCACTGTGGCCTTCTGCTTAGCTGGGTGGGTAAGGAGACATCCAGCTTCTGTTCAAGAGGACCTTGGGAAGAGGATTAAACTACAGGGTGCCTGTGATAACAAGGCACTTGACAGCATGACCTACCAGGACCTTGCCCAACCTCAGCTGGGCTCTCTTGCTCTTACTGCAATAAGATGGTGATAAGGAGGTGAAGAGCTGGAGAACACATCCCCGCTGCTGCGGGCTGAGCTGCCGCTCACCAGGAGGAGGGAAGGGCTGGCAAGGGCTCTGCAAGACCAGCATGACCCTCCCGTCTCCCATCGCACTCAATTACTGCCTCAGCAGATGGGCTCGCCTGGACAAACTATGGGGCTTGTCTCAGACGGATGCGGGGAAGCCACCGAGAGGAGCCTGTGTCCTTGTCCTTCCACCTCACCGCTCAGGCTGCAGGTGTTAGACGAGATCCACTCTTAGGACCGCGCTGTTCCCAATGCTGCTGATTTTTCTGGTCGT